GGGCCTCAGTCTGTCCTCAACCATTTACAGCCCAATGCTTATAGCTCTTTCAAGAATTGTAACAAGGATAGTGCTTGTGCGCGTCCAGAATGTTTTGTACGTGTGTGTTTTTATCTTCCCCAGATGTCTGAGCTCTCTCATTTATGGCATAAGAGATCAGACCATCAGACCCATCCTCATGTACCACCTCTGCTGTCGACTGAAACGCTCCGTCGTTCCAGCAAAGGCTGAGAAGTAAAGCTTTGTCAAGGTTTTCAGGGAGGCCTTCATTAGTCACAATATCTGGCTTCAGTGGTTGAGCAAGACTGAAATTGAAATCACAGTTTCATAATTCTGAAAACAACAAATGTCAGTATTGCTTGAAATGTCCTGAAAGAATCCTGTTTTTTAAATGATTACACACACATATATATATATATATATATATATATACATACAACCAGCAAGAGATTTGAAAATGATGTCAGTTTGTTTAAGTTGCTTTCATTTTACTTTCTCCTAAAATGTTCTAACATGTTGTTCTACCATGTATTATTGTGAGTAAAATGCTTCAGCAGGGGACACATTATGCCTTTATTGTATAGATAGTACTAGAGAAAGATTAGAGGAACTGAAGAGTAAGAGATATTTAACAACGGTCCTCGGACAGATGAAAACTGGTTATGTTGTGGGCGCCGACATTCATTTGGAATTTTATCATTTTGATGTGATTATATACTAAATGGTCTGTTGTATAATGATAAAATTGATTAAAATCATATGGTTCGTAAATGTAATTGTTTTTGATTATTGATTATTATCTAGTTAGACATAAAATGCAGCTTGTCCCTCTGCTGCACCCATCTGCCCTGCTGATAAGAGCCTCCTGACCTCTACACACCAATGTATTGAACTTATTCTTCTTTGTCTGCTGTTTAATTATATTTTAGATGTTCTGGTAAAGGAAAAGCGATGTTGCAAATGTGAGAATATTAAATTATTAAAGCATTTTTAAATTACATTTTAATTTAAATTTACTTTATTTATACAGAACCTTTCATTCAAATATGCAGCCCAAAGTCCTTCACATAACAAATTGAAACAACACATTAAAACAATATGAATGACAATAGATCAAATTATATTATAAATGTTTATAAAAATATATAACATATATATGGGGGAGAAATAATGTAAAAACTAAAGTTTAAAACCTAAAAAGTCTATAACATTACACACAAAGTAAAAGCCAGATTAAAAAGATTTCTTAAATTTTTACTTTACTTTACTATTAATACTGAGTGAGCTCATTATTCTGATATCCAGAGGCAGTGAGTTCAGTACTCCCACTTTTAAGGATCTAAGAGAAGTAGGACCTCAGTGATCTGGCTGAAGTTTCTTCTGTATGGAGGAGCAAGGTTATTTAAAGCTTCATAAACAGATAAAAGAACAAGACAACTGTACAAAAGAGATATTTTTTTAAATATATTTTTAATCCCACAAATTCATGTGTACATTATTAAGAAATAACTAATACAGGGAGGAAATACACTAGATGAATCTGCAAAAAACTCAGAATAAGATGACACAGATAGCTCTATAGTTCAAGTTTCAAATCACAAAGTTTAATAAATAAACAAGACATAAATGAAAAGTATAAATAATATTCATAAGAAAATATATTCTTATGAATAAAGAGAGTAAAACAAAGGGAATACATCATCTGAAAAGATGTTGACGATATGATGTGCAGACTTGATCCAGAAGTTGGAGACACGGTGTCTGACTGTTGATGATGATTGTAGAACAACTAAACCTAAAGTATATTGTGAAGATTGGACATGCATTTACCTTTTGAACTTACATTCACTTCCTCTGAACCACAGCTGCCCCCGACAGGGTGACCGTTAGATGTCAGGGTGGCAGACAGACAATTGCAGGAAGTGTTCTGGTGCATGTGAGTCTCATGAAGCTGTAGAGGAAGTGGATCTGCAACAGCAAGGATGTTCCTGCTTGCCCTCCATTCAGTGACCAGGTCTGAGATAGCCCTGTCGGGGGTGGTGATGTGTCGGTGTGGAAGGGGCACTAAGCCCTAATTATCAAGTTTAGACAGAATATGATACAATCAGGGTGATGGGAAATAATTCAAGATAGATTACATCACCAGTTACTGAGCTGTTATG